TTTTTTTGGTAGGGACAAGGTTTCACCATGCTGGCCAGGACAGTCTCAAACTCCTGACCTCAAGTGACGGTCTACCTTGGCCTCTCATCTGGGAATTTCTATTTTTTCATGGTTCAATCTTGGTAGGTTGTATGCGTGTTCAGGAATTTATTCATTTCTTCTAGGTTTTCCAATTTGTTTGTTTGTAGTTGTTTGTTTATTTATTTATTTAGATGGAGTTTTGCTCTCATTGCCCAGACTGGAGTGCAGTGGCACAATATTGGCTCACTGCAACCTCCGCCTCCCGGGTTCAAGCAATTCTCCTGCCTCAGTTTCCCGAGTAGCTGAGATTACAGGCACCCACCACCATGCCTGGCTAATTTTTTGTCTTTTTTTTAGTAGAGACGGGGTTTCATCACATTGGCCAGGCTGTTCTTGAACTCCTGACCTCAAGTGATCCACCCACCTCGGCCTCCTAGTTGTTTATAATAGTCTCTAATAATTCTTTGTATTTCTATGGTCTCAGTTGTAAAATGATACATAGAGCTTTAGGCATACCCCTTAAGCTCTTATGGTTTCTCTCATCTGTCAAATGGGAAAACTGCAAAATAGGGAGAACAATATCAGCCTCACAATGTTACTGTGAAGACGGAATAAAATACCGAATGTGAAATTACAGTGCTTTGAAAACTGGCTCACCATACAAACGTGAGCTAGGGTTCTTGTGAGCAGATGACAGAGAATCCACCAGACTCCAGCTCTCTGGACACCTGGCACATTGTCCCCTGAAATTTTACTTGCAAAATCAATTCAAATTGGCTTCAATACAGACTCTTCCTCATGAACTGAAAGTCAGCCAAAAGACACTGAACAAAGAGCTGCAGTGATTATTACCATCTCAAACAACAAGCCGTGTTTACCGGAGATGCTGGCTTTAGGATCAACCTTCTTGAAGGAGGTCTTTATGTATTGATTGCAAAGTTTTACCAGGCAGAATTTTAATAACATTTCCCAGGGAAAAGAAATTTGAGGGGCTTTGCCAACATCCATTACAACCAGAAATTTACAAATGGACTTAAAGGGCTGAAGTCTGTTAATCTGATTTCCCCTTCCAGTCCTAGCTGTGGGGAGGCTGCACAGGCAGAGTTGGGCAGTGGGGGTCTGCACAGACATTTGGCGGCTTTTACTCTCTGAGCGGGCATCACCTTCATGCTCATCATCACCATTATCAGAGCAGCATCAATTTACTAAAATGTAGGTACTTCCTTTGGGCTAGATGCTTTACAGATATTGTCTTATTTACTCTTCATCACTACTCCAATGACATAGGGTCAAGGATCATTCTCATTTTACAAAAAAAATAGAAACGAAGTCTCAGAGCAGTTATGTCTTGCCCATGCACCTACAGTCAGGAAATGGCAGAGCAGGGATTTATGCTCAGACCTTTGTGTTTCAAAACCTGAATGCCTAACCCCTCGTCAATACCACTTCCCAGGGGGAGGTTGGTTGAGCTCCTTAAGACTGCAAGGGGCAGGTATCTGCAGGCAACGTTCAGTTACAGGAGTTGTTGCAACACTGCCTCTTGGCTGACTCTTCTCAGTGGGAGGTAGTGATTCTGAGTCCTCTGGCTTCACACACACACACACACACACACACACACACACACACCTCGTTGTTCAAGACCTGGCTTGGCCTTGTTGTGGCTACAGCTTGAGCTTGAGCATCCTTTTTTCTC